CTCACCGGTCTACTCAGTGGCAGAGTCACTGCGCTCCAACCTGGTCCTGGAGCTCCTCTACAAACCTTCCAGATGCATCATTAAATAACGCAATGAGCATCACAACCAGAACCCTGAGACCGACACCAATCCCCTGGCTCCCTGTTCTGGCGAACATCCTGCTATAATATATCCACAGAGACATGCAAACTGCAAATAAGTTTACGCGTTCTCTTGCCAGTCGAGTTATAAGATCAAGACATCACCGTGGCCAAAGCCAGCAACACCACAACGCCACGCTCCACTCTGCGCTAGATGCTGCTGCTGCTGCTGCACAGTGGTGAGGAAGCGCAGGAACCTCCACGATCTGCCCTGAGGGCAGCGTCCCACAATCTGCCCTTAGATCTCTACCTTGGTTGCTGGGCTCGTGAAGGATAAAATATATATATAATATTCGAGTCCAGTGATGCATCGCTCCCCCAGGGTACAGCAGAGTGGCTGTGACATTTGAAATATGTCAAGGTCAAGAGGTAATTATTTTTAAAATAGGGTTGGAGTAAAACTTCGCAGATATTAGGTAACAAAGCTTTTTAACTTTTATGAACTTAATGGACGAATGCATATTAAGAGTAAAACAACATCAATCTGGGGTAAGCAACAAATGAGACCAGGAACAATCTCGGCGCAAAGGGCGCACACTCGTCATGAAGCAGTGTCAGTGCCACGCACAGCCTCTCTGTTTGCGCACCACTGCCAACACGATTCCTGAAATAGCCTCTCCACAGAGCTCCATGGGTGCTGCATTGCGCTGTGAGCGCGAGGATCTGCGCGGTGCTGGACGGGACGCGTTTGCGCTCGTTGGCAGTTACCAATGTGCGTGGCCCTACATGTGCCGCGGATGGGTGAGGGGTCAGGAGAGGCGGGTGTGTGGCTCATGTTGGAGCACTGAGCCAACACGGCTGAGATCCTGGGTTCCAATCCCAGGTTTCAGCCCCACCCTCGATTAAACTCGGTTCGCAAGAGCCGAGTATTGGCCAGATACAAATGACTGAACAATAATACATTAAATTTGAAACTAGATGTATCACCTACATTCACTAGATTCCGGTTCTAAGTGCTAAAACTGCGATAATTATCTGAAAGGTGGCCATGTAGAGAAGTGTGCCCCCTACTTTGTGTGTTAATCAAAGGTCACTTGAAGGAATCTTGGAAGCAGTTTTGTGGTCTCCTTCTGCAAACTGCTCTCTAATGCCGGGTGATGCGCTGTTTTGCGCGAGTTCCGAAAGGAATTTTCTTCAGAGGCCCCATTCATGAGCAGAAATATTTTCTCATGCAAAATCCCCCGCATGCCAATCAGCACCTGGGGAGCAGTGCCAATGGGAATCGAGGATGCACGCTGATGTCACCAGACTCGCCCCTCGCGACAGACTGACCTGACCAATCAGGCTCCGTCCGTCTTACACACAGACAAATATCCCCCGTATCGCCTTAACAGACTGTTGAGGCAGGGGCTGTTAGCGAGCACTGATGAAAGCCGGCCACACGTAAATTACAAAAAAGTACCGAATTTTTAGGAAAATGGCCATTGTTTCACCAAAACAGTGGCGGAATGACAATGAGAAAATGGCTAATAAAAAATATTCCCCATCATCTCAGGCCATGACATCAACCAATATAACAATAGCTGCACATACATCACTTTGATGGTAACGATGCGAGTAACTACAGAAAACTCTCAGCCCTCTCGCTGTGCTAATTATCACACCTCGACATTGGCATCGAGCTACTGAACAGATGCTATCATACACAAGAGTAGAAGAGAATGGTAACTATACGAGAATGGTAACTAGAAGTGAATGGTAACTCTAATGCACTATGGGGCAGTGCTCACGGTCAGCAACTGCCCAAGCTAAGGTCCGGCCTCCACTGTCTGTGGTTGAACCCTTCCCTGCTCTCCACCACCAAACCACCAGATACGAGAGTCTATACGGTGAAACCTTTCTCCATTCGCCCAACACCAACTGTGAACCGCGAGTTCCACTCGACCGCTTTCAGGCTGCGTCGCAATAGTGTCAGCAGGCTTTGGGGAAGATGAAACCACAACAGCGGACGTGCGAGCGCGTGCGTGTGAATACGCAAAGGGTGTTACACGGCGAGCTGGAATCTTTGTTAATGGGTAAAATAATAACCAACACAACCGCGTGACCTCTTGTGCGTAAACCTATAGGGTCTCTGGTGAAGTCACAGCCCTGCCGGAGTCCACGTTACTCCACCCTACTCCATTATCTGCGTCCTCCATCGCGAGGGAGCGCCTCTTGGCCACGTGACGACGCGTTGGCCCGCAGGGCCCAGCGTGCCGAGGGGCATTGCAAACCCGTGACGGCATCGCATGGCCGGCTACAAAATCGTTGATATCAACGTCATGAACACCGCGTCAATAGCGCAGTGAAGTACAGCGAGAGACCTACCATCCGCGCTGGCGCCATCCGTAACTCTAATCAGTGAAATTGAGTATCGTGGCATCATCTAACTTGTATCTGCTGCGCTCGAGAGCAACAGCAATAATTTTACATTGGGATGAGTCAGAAGTAGCGGAGTGGTGAATCATCGCTGTGATGATGCCTCCTCCTTCGTGTTTGTGAGTCGCTCTATGTTCCATGGTCAGTTGTGGGTGGTGACCACAGTCTCTGCATACTGACCGGAGAGTTTTCAATTTTCCATCTGTGTACTGAGTATCTGCATCAACTGCTGCCGCTGCCGTGTTTGTGTGGACGCAGTTTACTATCCATGCCGATTCACGTTATTCACGTCGATTCGCACGTGACCGTAGACAAGCAGGTGCAGTCGTAAGAAGCCTGGATGTGATCGTGGGTGACACCTGCGCCCTCACACGAACACGCACGCCAATCCACCGTCTTTTGACTTTCGCATTCCCATCGCCTACGTGGCGTGGTTCAGGACAGCAATATCTCAAGTCTACATCTTCTACGGAATTTTAAACACCCTGTGATGATTTCATCGGGCGTGGAGGTTTAAAAATGGTCCTTATCCCCCATTTTTATTTACATCAAACATCAAGCACGGTGTTTTTTTCACCCTTATTTTCTGTGCCAAAAAAACTGAAATGCGACATCCACGACCGCCCTGATCTACGACTGTCAACGTCACGAAAAACAAACTCCGTGACCCCAAACAGAGCCCAAAATATAACTATCACCTCGAGGCGGGATACAACTCTGACGAAAATAAATGTATCCTCATTGTCCACGGTTTCCTCAAATAGGTTAACGAAATCAGTTTTTCGGTATCTTTTGAAGTCCGGTGGGTCTGCTCTTCCAGTGTTTCCATTCAGGAGAGAATCAACTCCCCGACAGCTCAAATCAAACCGTGTCCCTCCAGGAGCACTGGTTGGTGTCTTAGTGAGTGACCGATGGTCATTGACGTCGTGCCCTGCTGATGCGGCCGCTGTTCGCAACCGGGCGTTCAACAACTCTGTGATGGCACGGAACCCGTCACGGATGGCCGATTTCCACCTACAACTCATTCGTCAAACCCACAACTCATTCGTCAAACCCACAACTCATTCGTCAAACCCACAACTCATTCGTCAAACCCACAACTCATTTCTTCAGAATCGTTACGTGAACACGGTTAGCCTCTATGCGAGTTGCACGCGTTGTTTTTTTTTACATGACATGGATTTCCCCGAACCATTTTAAAAGCTAATTATAAACGGCACTAATTTCAATTTGAAAAGTGAAGTGAAATTCCAGTGTGCGAGTTGGGAACGTGCATTCACTTCCCTGTACTGGAGTCCCGGACGGAGCGGTCAGAGGACACCGCGGAGGAAGTTAACCCCGGGCTGCGCTGCGGGGGTGGCTACGCACCCCGGCGTGGGAACAGGTTCGGCCACACATCACGCACAACAACAGAGGCGACCTGTGTGTGTCTGTGTGTGTGTTTGTGTGTCTGTGTTTTAATGTGTGTTTTTGCCTCAATGCAGCCGCGCCTCGACGCGTCGTGACTGAGCAATCACGAGCAGGAGGATGAGAGGCACAGCGAGGACTGACGCACAAAGCGCAGAGTCAACAAGAACCAACTTAGCCCCCCCCCTTTTCTCTGAGACCCCCCTCCCTCCCTCAGAGTACCCCCCTCTTAATCAGAGTATCCCCCTCTCAGAGTACCCCCCCCCCCCTCTCACTCAGAGTGCCCCCCTCTGATTCCAATACACGAGTACCCCTGCCCGTGCACAGCACCCACGCATGGTTGCGGGTGATATCATCAGCTGGGCGGAATGGAGACGGCGCTGGCGAGAAACGGGCACAGCGAGGGATGGGGAGAGAGACGAAGAGAGACGGGGAGGGGATACAGGAAGAGAGGGAAGGATGAGAGAGAGACGGGGAGAGACGGAGAGACAACTACGGGGAGAGAGACGGAGAGACGGGAAGAGAGACGGAGAGACAACTACGGGGAGAGAGCGAGAGACGGGGGGAGAGAGACGGAGAGACGGGGAGAGAGACGGAGAGACAATTACGGGGAGACAGAGAGACAAATACGGGGAGAGAGACGACAACAAGAGACGGGGAGAGAGACGAGAACAAGAGACGGGGAGAGAGACGGAGAGAGAGACGGGGAGACAGAGAGACGGAGAGACGGGGAGAGAGACGGAGAGAGAGACGGGGAGAGAGACAAATATGGGGAGAGAGACGGAGAGAGAGACAAATATGGGGAGAGAGACGGGGAGAGAGACGAGAGACGGGGAGAGAGACGGAGAGAGAGACGGAGAGAGAGACAAATATGGGGAGAGAGAGGGAGAGAGAGACAAATACGGGGAGAGAGACGGAGAGAGACGGGGAGAGAGACGAGAACGAGAGACGGGGAGAGAGACGGAGAGAGAGACGGGGAGAGAGACGAGAGACGAGGAGAGCGACGGAGAGACAAATACGGGGAGAGAGCGAGAGACAGGACGAGAGCGAGAGACGGAAGAGAGACGAGAACAAGAGGCGGGGAGAGAACGACACCTCGTCTCTGATGAGGTCCGTGCTGCTGGTCGAGGCTGGAGCGCACGAGGAGCTCTGCCCTCCTCACCTCTTCCAAACCTCCTTCTCACCTCCTCTTCACCACCCGACCGCCTCTTCTTCCACACTGTTTCCTCCTTGCCGCAACGCGTACCGCTGCAACCCAGGAACCGGCACAGAGGGGGCGGAGAGGGAGGGGAGGAGTATGGGGAGGGGTGGGAGGAGTATGGGGAGGGGGTGGGAGGAGTATGGGGAGGGGAGGGAGGAGTATGGGGAGGGGTGGGAGGAGTATGGGGAGGGGGTGGGAGGAGTATGTGGAGGGGAGGGAGGAGTATGGGGAGGGGAGGGAGGAGTATGGGGAGGGGAGGGAGGAGTATGGGGAGGAGGGGGGAGGGAGGAGTATGGGGGGGAGGGGGGAGGGAGGAGTATGGGGAGGGGGTGGGAGGAGTATGGGGAGGGGAGGGAGGAGTATGGGGAGGGGTGGGAGGAGTATGGGGAGGGGGTGGGAGGAGTATGTGGAGGGGAGGGAGGAGTATGGGGAGGGGAGGGAGGAGTATGGGGAGGGGGTGGGAGGAGTATGGGGAGGAGGGGGGAGGGAGGAGTATGGGGGGGAGGGGGGAGGGAGGAGTATGGGGAGGGGTGGGAGGAGTATGGGGAGGGGTGGGAGGAGTATGGGGGGGAGGGGGGAGGGAGGAGTATGGGGAGGGGTGGGAGGAGTATGGGGAGGGGAGGGAGGAGTATGGGGGGAAGGGGGGAGGGAGGAGTATGGGGAGGGGTGGGAGGAGTATGGGGAGGGGTGGGAGGAGTATGGGGAGGGGGTGGGAGGAGTATGGGGAGGGGGTGGGAGGAGTATGGGGAGGAGGGGGGAGGGAGGAGTATGGGGGGGAGGGGGGAGGGAGGAGTATGGGGAGAAAGGAGGAGGGAGTGTGGGGGGGGTCGTGGGGAGAGGGGAGGGGTGGATGGCTTTATTTTGGTGATTTCGAAAACGTTTTTTAGTTTGGCCATGTTTGTGTTTGTTGTAGTACGGAGTTAGACTGATGGCCTTAATCTTAGTTGTCTTGTGGTTGTTGTTGTTGTTGTTTGACTTGCATCCCACTGGGATTTTTGCACACAGCGTTGGTGTACGGTGCTTTTTCAGGAATATTTTGATGTTTTTTCCTGGATATTCTGTTTGCACAGTCACATAGTCACTTTAAGATGTTTTCTTGTTCATGTTTTTGTTTGTTGCAGTTGCACCCGATTCAAGAGCCGAATGGCTCACAGGGCTATACCAAATAAATGAAACTGAAAACTGAAATGGAGGGAGGGAGCGGCGCTCTTTAATGTCTGGAGTTGAGATGCGGTGTACGAGCGTGCCCGTCGCTGGGGAGCGTCTGGCTCTGAGACGTCACCGCTGCTGTTCCCATCTGGACGCCTGACCCGCCCAGCCGGTTCTGGCAGTTTCACAAATCTCTTTGTGATCCATCAACCCTTGCGGAGATCATAGTCGCACCTCACTACAAACTGCAGTGGACAGTGCATCGCCTATGCTTGCGCAATGATGGGAACGATATCGCCAACAGTTCGATGGCAATGCGGTTCCTCTCCGTTCTGGGGAACGGTCCCAGGAGTGTCCTCTCTGTGAGGAACGGGAGGCCCTGAGAACGAATGTTGAAGGGCCTGGGTTGTACTCCCGTTCCCATCGAGCGGAGTGGAAACTGCCTCTGTTAGTGGTCGCTAAGCAGATGGAGATCTCTTGTGGATGGTCGGTCCATGAGTTAATCTCCTGCTTCACTGATTGTGGAGTAGCTCCGATTGCGTGTGGTGGCTGTTAACGTACGAAAAAGAAGACGGAGATATTATAGATTCACCCTGAGACCCAGTGACTCACATAGAGACCCTTCAGGCTCATACAGAAATCTGTATAAAGGAGGAATTATCAAAGCGATCCACCACTCCCCTACTCCGGATGCAATCATCTGGCTCGACGACATGAATATAAAATTATAACTGTTGCTCTACATCATGAACCATACAAAGCCAAAGGAATACATTGGTGCGACACAAGTGTTGCTATCTTACAATGTGGTAGCGATGTTTGTCCTTGCCCATGGACGAATTGGATGCGGTAACTTCAACAACGACAGTGCCGCTCTGACAAGCCCCACGCGGACAACGTCAATCAGATATAATTGGCCGGGTATAGTTCTGTCTATTATTGGGATACATTCACATTGTGTGCACGAAAATTGCATACTACATGAACGCAACAAATACAAAACAAATAATAATCCAAAACCGAATCTTATCTCTTACCAGCATCTAAATCAAACACTCATTTAAAAATTCGCGTAGGAAAAACTGCAAACCCCCCGAGCGAGATGTGTAGCTTCTGATAAGATGGAGGGGTCTGGCACTCTGGGAGCGATGTCACGGGCAAATGTGCGAGCCAGGCACCCAAATCTGCGGGTGACCCTACCCCTGGGTCCCCTGCGTGGCTCTGCGCTTAATTCGCAATTACTCATTCACACGCACGGGTCGCGTTTGTGAATGAATTATGGATCGAGCGTCTCCTCGTTTGGGCGGCGGACCTGCAAGTTTGGCCCAGTGGGAAGCGAGTTTGCTGCCTTAGTGCGGAGGGACGTGCTTCTCACCCAACGGCCGGCCTATTTAATTATTCCACATTTAACTTCCATGCGAAACAGCATTTATCCCCGATTGTTAGGGACGTCAAATGGAATATCAGTGTCTCACACTCTCTCTCTTCATCTGTTCCCCACACACACGATCACTCGCCCAGCCACCACATTCGGGGCTCCTAAACATCAGCATTGGGGAAACAAAGGCGTCCAGGCGTGCCGGCCTTCATAGGTAACAGCACGTTCCTCAAAATACTGTTAAGGCTACACGGGGGATCTTTGTCTTCTTTGTGTGGAGGATTCGCCGTTCGGGAGGCAAATGAACTTGGATTGGCCCAAAGGGACACTCGGTGCTGCCGGGCCCACTCCAGCACAGGGGCGAACGGTTTGGAAACCACGAAGCCAGAAGAGCCGAGCCGGGCAGCCTCGATCCTTGCTTCGCCCGAATCTGAGCGAGCGACCTCTTTACCGAGCGCGGCATATCCTGGCAGGTGCACCCCGTGCGGAGTGAGTGGGCGAACAGGCACCACCCCCACCACCACCGTGACTCGGCCCCCCTGCGGGCGGGAGGCTGAGAGGCGGGGAGGGTTCAGGTTTCCTCCCGCACGGATAATAAACACAACTCAGCATTAATAAAGCGAATGTAGCAGCAGGACCCTACCGGAAAGATACATAAATGGTTACTCCTGGAACAGTGGCGTAGTGTCTCTCGATTCGCGGCGAAACTGGGCGAGTGGGTGACACCACGATGGTGGTGATCGTGGTGGTGGTGATCGTGGTGGTGGTGGTGGTGATGGTGGTGATGGTGGTCATGATAATGACCGTGGTAATGGTGATCATGGTGATCCTGATAGTGGTCATCGTGGTGATGGTGGTGATTATGGTGATGGTGACAGAGGTGATCATCGTGATGATGGTGATGGGGAGCGGTATTGAAGCGGTTAGCGTGCTGCGCTATGGACCCGAGTTCGATCCCCGCTCACGGCCACCAACACCAGTGACGATTATCCGAACCGGTCCCGGCCCTCCCCAAGGTTGACTCAGCCTCAAAGTAGTACCCTGGTGCGATGTGTAAACATCGCCACTAGGGAGACGAAGGCGGCTGGGCGGGGTGCTGGCCACCCACCCTCTCGTGTGCCGTACCGGCCTTCACAGGCACTCGCTAACAGCACTTGCCCCAACGTTCTGTTCAGGCTATACGGGGGACCTTTGTCTTTTATGGTGGCGGCTCTTGCGAAATCGCGTGCCCGAGTCTGCTGAGCCAGGCACATCTGCAGTACACCTCACACACGTGACCTGTGCTGTACACATTTGCCAATTGTGTTATGCGCACGAAGGAAATGTATCTTAGATTCGTCACGTATTTCATTTTTATCAGCAAAAAAACACACCACTATGCAGCTGGTATTCGTCGAAATATTCCCCATGCTGAAGTACACACACAACGACACCCCCCACCACCTCCTCACGAAAAGTCTTGAGACACAGCTAGGCTTTCCTGGGTGAACGAGCCCAAGATTAATAACTAAAACCGCTTTGTGTTTCGATCGGATGGAGTGTTCGACGATTCTTTACTGCCCGTTGAGTGGGAGCTCTTGGGCACGGTCATCCCAGTTCAGGGCGTTGTGGTGGAGATGGAGGTGAGTCTCGGACCAGCCCGGATGCTGCTGTGTAACAGTAATAATAATAATGCTTAATGCGGGGTTAATTATTAACGGTAATGGCTTAAAAATGTGCGACTGTGTCACAAAACAGAAGTAGCATACCTGGCAGCGCGTGCACCACGAGGCGTGACAGCAGCAACGTCCTCAAGTCTGCGACGACAGGCCGCCCGTGATCGAGCAGGGCGCTGCTGAGAGGCGACAGGCCGCCCGTGATCGAGCTGGGCGCTGCAGAGAGGCGACAGGCCGCCCGTGATCGAGCTGGGCGCTGCAGAGAGGCGACAGGCCGCCCGCCACTGTCTGGAAGGGCCGCCACGCTCCCACCACAGCCGCCTGCTGGGACGCGCCACACAGCGCGGCGCTCGTCGATTGCTGCAGAGTTCGCGGTTCAGTTCCCGGCGGCCGCCCTGGTTATCAATGCGGTGTAATAACCCTACAACGTAGTGCTACACGCCGTCCGCTTCACTCACAGTGGACGTTATAGATCCCGTGACGTCGTTTGCAAGAGCCGTAGGCCGTTGTGTGCCGGCGTCACGGTCCAATTTTCCCACATTCGAAAAATGACAAAACGCAATTCCTCCATAGCGATCACGCAGAGCAACATCGACTCTTGCTGCGAGACGTAGCGGCGCCTTCCTTCGTGCTAGCCTAGAAGAGCGAGATGACGATGGCACAGGCCTCTGCGTGAGCTGCCCTTGTGACTGGGCTCATTGCTCGCCATGGGGGTTTAGCGCAGCGAGAGATCGCGGCGAGTGGCCGTGTTGTTTTGTCTCCACGTCGTCGTCGGCACGAGCAGTAGCCACGTGGCGACACAAGCTGAGAAAGGACGCAGTGGGCTCAGGCAAGAGGCGTCACGAGAAGGTACGAAGGGCGATGGCGAAGAACGGTGGCGGAATGGCAGACAAGGGGGGATGGAACGCGTTCGTAGAGGACGAACCCCCCGAGATGGATCGATGTCGTTTTGCTCGTGTGTAGTTAAGCGCTAGGTGGATCGTTACATCGAAGGAATCCTGAGAGACGGTGTCGAATTGAGTCAGGCCTTCATCTAGCAGTGGATTGATGCTGGCGATGGCTGAGATGATACAAGCGGGGAGGCTCGCGGTGCCCACTGCGCCCTCCTGCTCCCCTCACCCGGGGCGCGCTCCCAGCCCGGGGTCTGCAGTCCCACATGGGTGGCGAGGAGTGGTGAGTTGGTGGCCGAGCCCCAGGAGGAGCTCTCACAACTCTGCTTGTATCGAGGGCGGCTTGGCCAGCAGCAGCAGCAGCGGCGGCAGTGCCGTGGCGCTCCACAGGCGACCCAAACAACGCGCCTTTCATTCCTCCCTTGAGTCGAGATTTTGCCATGTCGCCAAGAGTCGACAGATCGAGGCGTTACATAACCTGCCTTCATTTGACCACATTTAATTTTGATACGTTGGGAAAGTCTCCCTTTGAGCTCGCTCACGCAAGCCGAACGATCCACTCACATCGCCGTACCATTTGTCGGCCAAGGGGGATGTTTGACCATACTTCACCACACCAGTCAGTGCGGGGTTGGTTAAGGGTTGGTGTGGGGTCTTTACCGGTTCAGATGTCACTCGCCGCTGATGTTCGCCATCGCTGGGGAACGAACTTAGGTGAGCGAGCTCCCTAGCGCCGTGCGTTAACCACTCCACCACCGCTCCCCCCACATAACGACAACAAACGAAACCATCTCGAGACGTAGTGGGGCTGGGGGAGGGGGCAACCACGTGGACATGGGGCGGTGGTGGCCACGCTGCACGTGGCCTGCAACCCAAGTGCTGTGGAGGCAGCGAGGGATGGTGAATCGCAAATGTTGCATGGTCATCGTCGTAATCATCATCCAGTATCCACGCAATCACCACCTGATGCTGCTGCCATATGTTTGCGTGCGGTGGAAGCGGTTCTAGGGGTTGTGGCCCAGAAGCGTCAGGGCGGGAGATCGCAGCCACGAATCTTCCGCGTCTTTCACGAGCAGTGCGTTTGTGGCTTCTAAGCGTGAGCGCGCTCCGAGAGGATGATGGCACAGCAGAGAGAGAGAGAAAGCGTGTGGCTCTTCACACGCAGCGACTCTTTGGGTGGGCGCGGGCTCACAACCGGCAAAAGTGCCGACGGCCGTTGTCCAACTTCAGCTCTGTACTGGGCAATCCACTGCTGGGTGAGGGTCTACACCATGGGGCCGGTTATTTCACCATACTTCACCAAGCTTGCTAGCGCGGGTTGCCTCATTATGTGGGGTGGGAGGGGAGCAAGCAAAACAACGCGTGGGTGCCGTGCAACAACAACAACCCTGTGGCCGTGCGCACGTGTAAATTCGTCATCGATGCCGCGAACCGAGCAGCGTGGGCGATGTCTGGGCTCGCCGTGTTGACCGTCACGCCACGAGGATTGCATCAAAGCGTTGCGCTTCGCGTGACAGCTGTCACTCTCTCGCTCTTTACTGTCCGTCACGTCCACTTATTGGAGAGACAGACACCTCTTGGACAGACAGACACCTTCACACACAGAGTGAGAGAGAGAGAGAAAGATGGACAGCCTCTAAGTGATTGTCCCCAAGGCTGGCGTTGGAACGGCTGCGTAAAGTGGGCTGGTGACGGGGAGAGCGCTCTAGGGCAGCAGGGTCGTGGTGGGATCACACGGACACATTCCACACTTGGTCAGTGGAGGGCACTCGAGACAAAGGGCTTCGGGTTCTCAGCAAGGCTGGCACGGCCCGGTTTTAATCATTCGGGTTTTAATCGGTTTTTATATAAAACCGGAGCACCTGGATCCTGCCCAAATCCGGTTTTATTCGGTTTTATTAAAGTTAAGTCGGGATTTCAGTCGCACGCACCCATTAGTGGCGTTCATTAAGTCGAACCTCAACGCGTTCTACGACTACCCGACGCCCGACGATGGCGACAACACCGAGTCCAGCAGCAAGAGCGACAACGAAGACGACGCGGCGGCGGACGACGACGAGGAGCAGGATTGATGTGCACGAGACGCCGATAATAAAAAAAAGCTTTAATCGGCAAAATAAGGTTTAATTCCATTAAAACCAATAACCCGATTTGTCGGGCCAAAAAAAATCGGGTTTTTCCCACCCTTGGTTCTCGGAGCCAAAAACGCGGAGTGACAAAATCCTGATCATGTAAAAAAATTTAATTAACCCCAGGCAATGACGATACATATACAGTGAGGGAAAAAAGTATTTGATCCCCTGCTGATTTTGTACGTTTGCCCACTGACAAAAAAATTAGCAGTCTATAATTTTAATGGTAGGTTTATTTGAACAGTGAGAGACAGAATAAAAACAACAAAATCCTGAAAAACGCATGTCAAAAATGTTATAAATTGATTTGCATTTTAATGAGGGAAATAAGTTTTTGACCCCTCTGCAAAACATGACTTAGTACTTGGTGGCAAAACCCTTGTTGGCAATCACAGAGGTCAGACGTTTCTTGTAGTTGGCCACCAGATTTGCACACATCTCAGGAGGGATTTTGTCCCTCTCCTCTTTGCAGATCTTCTCCAAGTCACTAAGGTTTCGAGTCTGACGTTTGGCAACTCGAACCTTCAGCTCCCTCCACAGACTTTCTATGGGATTAAGGTCTGGAGACTGGCTAGGCCACTCCAGGACCTTAATGTGCTTCTTCTTGAGCCACTCCTTTGTTGCCTTGGCCGTGTGTTTTGGGTCATTGTCATGCTGGAATACCCATCCACGACCCATTTTCAATGCCCTGGCTGAGGGAAGGAGGTTCTCACCCAAGATTTGACGATACATGGCCCCGTCCATCGTCCCTTTGATGCGGTGAAGTTGTCCTGTCCCCTTAGCAGAAAAACACCCCCAAAGCATAATGTTTTCACCTCCATGTTTCACGGTGGGGATGGTGTCCTTGGAGTCATAGGCAGCATTCCTCCTCCTCCAAACACGGCGAGTTGAGTTGATGCCAAAGAGCTCAATTTTGGTCTCATCTGACCACAACACTTTCACCCAGTTGTCCTCTGAATCATTCAGATGTTCATTGGCAAACTTCAGATGGGCATGTATATGTGCTTTCTTGAGCAGGGGGACCTTGCGGGCGCTGTAGGATTTCAGTCCTTCACGGCGTAGTGTGTTACCAATTGTTTTCTTGGTGACTATGGTCCCAGCTGCCTTGAGATCATTGACAAGATCCTCCCGTGTAGTTCTGTGCTGATTCCTCACCGTTCTCATGATCATTGCAACTCCACGAGATGAGATCCTGCATGGAGCCCCAGGCCGAGGGAGATTGACAGTTCTTTTGTGTTTCTTCCATTTGCGAATAATCGCACCAACTGTTGTTACCTTCTCACCAAGCTGCTTGGCAATGGTCTTGTAGCCCATTCCAGCTTTGTGTAGGTCTACAATCTTGTCCCTGACATCCTTGGAGAGCTCTTTGGTCTTGGCCATGGTGGAGAGTTTGGAATCAGATTGATTGATTGCTTCTGTGGACAGGTGTCTTTTATACAGGTAACAAGCTGAAATTAGGAGCACTCCCTTTAAGAGTGTGCTCATAATCTCAGCTCGTTACCTGTATAAAAGACACCTGGGAGCCAGAAATCTTTCTGATTGAGAGGGGGTCAAATACTTATTTCCCTCATTAAAATGCAAATCAATTTATAACATTATTGACATGCGTTTTTCAGGATTTTGTTGTTGTTATTCTGTCTCTCACTGTTCAAATAAACCTACCATTAAAATTATAGACTGATCATTTCTTTGTGAGTGGGCAAACGTACAAAATCAGCAGGGGATCAAATACGTTTTTTCCCTCACTGTAAGTAAGGGTGCCAACTTCACAGTTGATCCCAGAATAATTAGCAATGACACTCCTAGCCATAATAAGGAAACGCATTCGCCCACTTGGCACAACAATCTAATCAGACTTGTCATGGAATACGACCTGGAATCTGGGCCCATATTCAGTAACCGCGATAAACAAACTAATAAATTATCAATGCTCAAGTAGAGGGAATTTGGAAGCCAAGTAACCTGTCAAAAATAATGCCATCTAATTCTTGAATACACGACGCACGTGTAAATAACGAGCATGTGAATGATTTCCTCCAGCACATCAGGTTGTGATTTTTGGTGACCTCCAACGCAACTAAATGTATTTTCCCATAGCCTCATACACTGCCCATTTGATCATCAGTTTCCGGCGTTAAAATCGCACAGAGGGGACGCCCCCGCTGTGCGATTGATTCCAGATCTAAACGCCGCGCAGAGACCAGCACTGAGACCCCAGCAATTGATTTCAGATCCCTAATAGAGAACAAATGGAAAATCAACACTGTTGCTTATGGGCTTTGA